TAGCTGGAACAGGGGCACAAAATAAGGAGGTGAAGCAGCATTAAAGATTTGTCCAGTTGTGGGTGGAGTCCTGGGGAAAAAACCCCCTCAGACTATTTGACCCTAACAAGGGTGCCTTGTGTGAATGACTCCATCTGCCCAGTTGTGGAAAACTAGGAAAGTACCCTAACAAATGCTCACATGGCCCTGCTCACATGTCCAGTGTGACGAGCGCACAAAAAGGGAAATGAATCTCTCTGCAGCTATCAAAAATGACAAGGAAGCTCTTGTTGCTTGTAACCGTGGGTGGGAGATCAGCTGCTCATGAGGGAACAAGTCACATACACAGGGCCGGCTCCAGGCACCAGTGAAGGAAGCAGGTGCTTGGCGCGGCCAATGGAAAGGGGCGTCGCGTCCGTGTCTTCGGCGGCAGGTCCCTCAGTCCCTCTCTTCCTCTTTGAGCTGCCGCCGAAGTGCCGCCGAAGAGGAAGAGAGGGAGCGAAGGAGCCGCTGCCAAATTGCCGCAGAAGAATGAAGCGGCGCAATTGAGCTGCTGCCGAAGTGCCACCGATCGGCTTTATCTTTTTTGTTTGTTTGTTTCCCCGCTTCGCCGCTTGGGGCGGCAAAAAAGCTGGAGCCGGCCCTGCACATACACCAGTTCCGACTTTATGGGGCAGATGTTCTGCTAGTGCAAACTGATGAGCACCATTCACTTCTGTGGAACTAAGCTGATTTATACCAGCAGAGAATCTGACCTTATATCTGCCCATGTAATACAACAATTATATCAGAGCAGGGGCATTTTGTATTTTACTTCTCAGTGTAACAAGCACAGGCTAAATTTGCCTTTTTCACCTTTTAACACTTTCAGATGCACCCTACACTATTCCCGTTTTCTTTTCCTCGCATATAACGTAACATGAAAAAGATACCAGCAGTTACTTACAGTAGAACGATTTGCTTCATAGCAGGTTGGTGGGGTATATTTTACCTTCGCACACGGTTTCTTACTGCTTGTTCCAATTTTGCATTAGGCCTGTCTACATCTGAAAATTAGATGGATCTAACGTCAGAGGTGAAAGTAAGCCGGTACGGTCAGGTACAGCGTACCGGCAAGAGCCAGTACGCCGTGCCGGACTGCACCGGCTTCCGCGGCGGGGATTTAAAGGGCTCTGGGCTCCCTGCTGTGGCGGGGAGCCCAGAGCCCTTTGAATCCCGCCCGCAGCTCCGGCAGCCGGAGCTGTGGTGGGGATTTAAAGGGCCCAGAGCTCCGCAGCGGCCGGAGCCCCGGGCCCTTTAATTTGCCCCTGAGCCCCGGGGGCTCCCAGCCACCTCTGCAGCTGGGAGCCCTGGGTTTATTTAAAGGCCCGGGGGCTCACAGCCACAGCCGGTGCCCCAGAACCTTTAAATCTTGAGAGGCCCCGCCTCTTCCGGTTGAGGCACTGCCTCTTCCACACGCGGCCACGCCCCCCCCCCCCCCAGGACTCCGGCAGTACCGGTAAGTCCTGTAAGTTACTTTCACCCCTGTCTAACGTCATCGCTCACATCTGTAAAAATGTTGTGCCATGTGACATAGTTAAGTTGATCTAACCCCCCACTGAAGATTCAGCAAGGTCAATGGAATAATTCTACCATTGACCTAGATGCCACCTCTCAGAGAGATGGTTAATGACACTGATGGAAACCCCCCTTCTGTCAATGTAGGACAGCTACACACTGGCACGGTAGCTGAGCCGCTGTAACCACAGTAGTGTAGCCAGACCTTCAGTTCACATGTCACTAGTAGCACTGACAGCATGTGACAAGGTTACATTGTGGGTAGAGCAGAGAACTATGAATCAGGACTATTGGGTTCTCTTCTTGGTGCTGCCCCTTCCTGAGTGACTTTTGGACAAGTTATTTCACCGTGTTGTGTCTCCAGTTTCCGTCTCCCTGTACAAGGAGGAGAACCGCCTTCAGTACCTTACAGGGTAAGGCTTGTGAAAACTACATTTTGAAAAAGTGCTTTGAGATCCTTAGAGAAAAGTACCATGTTATAAAACCAAGTCAGGAGGGCAATACCCAAGAGAAAGTGGACGCCACCTGGGAATAATCTCTGCTGTCCACACAGACTTGCACTTCAATTAATGATGTCTATTCAAATTCAGCC